CCGTCAAGAGGGTGTATCCAAGGCCACGAAAGGGATGCTATACGAACGGTCCAACCAAATCCACCGGTCTGTGGCATATGTGAAGAGAAAGGGTTATGGAACGACGCGATCCCAGAGAAGATATTCCGGATTATGAGGCCCCCATGATGTTCCACGCGTATAACGACTTCAGACACTGTGGTCACCATGCTTCACGACAGGTATTGAGGTGGATGAGCTCGAGGATGCTCGTGATGCTGTTCCAGGCTTCAAGCCTTTGACATGAAGGACCTTATAGTTATGGCGCAACCGACGCTGCCAATTTTTTGCAGCCCCAAGACGATCCAGTTTTACCGTCGCTACGAATCCTGATCTGTTCTCCGGGTCCAGATATATATCAACTTTGTTGCGCCACCAAGGAAGATGGACTGGAAAACTGTTACAATCGGCTAGAAAGTTAGCAGCTTTCCTGAGGCTGGGGTATACCACTCACTGTTTAGATTTTGACGCTCGACAGTCTCGAACTTGTCCAGCGATGGGTCATACACAATGGCCTGCGGCTTGTGGTCCCAGTTACTTGTGCGGTGCTCTGCTGACAGTCGCTGTCCTAAATGTTCTTGGTTCGGCGAGCCCATTGGACCTTGCAACGAGGGAGCCCAAGTCCTGCAGCACGATATTTGATGTTGAGGGCTTTCAGATGGCCGAGGTTGCTAGTGAGGCTGGAATGGCACGATGACTGTATATATGTGAGCAATCGTAAGGAGCGGAATCAGGGGCAGACAAATGATGCAGCGGACAGGACCAATATCAGCACAGCCTTGAGCGTGCCGTAAATAACGTGCTATGTAGTAGCCATGTGTGCCATTTCGGTTCACTCGTTGTGTGGGAAGTCCCACGAGGCAACTGATTGGGGCGTCTAAGGGTCATGCCAATTGGTCGCCTACTAATGAGGAGGATGGTTCACACCCTCCCCCTAGTGCAACATCAAGCAACATGAGCCTCCAACATCCGACTGAGGCAAAGAATTGTCGTCCTTGTCATTGATTGTACTTCGTTACGGATTGACGGCCATCACTAGCTGGGGGCGGAGCCGCTTCTTTTTCGCATGTGACAGTCGCAAGTTCCGCCTCTCGTAAGCCACTCGCTTAAGGTGTGCCAATAACTGCTGATACCAATACACCATCTTTCCTTACTTCGCTAACATCTACTCTTTACGAAAATCTCGCAGATCCTTTAGGAAGGCTGACTGAGATACTGATGTTGCGCGTGTGCCACCACACATGTACGCAGGCGTGCTGCAATCCTCTCAGCGCGCCACTTTAGACGAATCAGTACTCATTCCGTCGTCGCACAGATGTCTTCAAGAGCTTGGCACCAGCCATCGTCTGATCCTAGAACACATATGGAAGTATTAAGGAAAATGGCAGATCCTGTTGCGCCTTTGCTATGCCGTGCGACGAGTTGACCTTATCTTTTTGCAAGGTTCCGGGCCTGCGGCCTTCCGCTGAGCCGCACGCATGCACACTGCGAACCTCAAAGAACTCACGATACAAGCCCACGCTTTGATAGCCTGACGTTCCTTCGGATTTTTAGGCATGTCTAGGATGCAGTGTGGGATGGAATTCCCAATGAAAACAGCTCACCTGGTTTGCGCGACCCATGTTGATCGATCATGTCGCCCTAGTACCAGATGTCGTCCTCTCAGCGGTCACGTTCTGCACCATCAGGAGACAGACGGCCTGCCAGTGAATCTGACAACGTGCAATCGCCTGGACTACTGACACCTACGCGATGGCACACTTCTCGTGGACGGCAACCTCAGCACCGCAACGAATCTCCACGCCCTTCTCGCGAAGCAGGCAAGGCAACAACGCAAGGGCCTGCTTCTGTCACGAACTCGAACTCGTCAGTAGTGACAAGTGAGGCAGGGCAGGACTCAGAGCATACGGCAGCTACGCATAGCTCTAGTGGATCTGGTGGGGAGAGCCCCTGGTTAAGGAAAACCTTACTGACTCTTGGTACGTGAACTGTGGCTATTGAGGGGACTTATGACTCACTGAGTGGATTATTAGATGGAGGGGGAGTCAGAGGCTTTTCCAGCTTGTTAATACTGAGGGCCCTCATGATGGAAATAGCCACTCTGGAACAAGCCGAGTCGCAAGCTCACAACAGCGTACATCCGTTGCAGCCTCGACTGCGCAGACCTGTTCGCATGCAGCAGAATCGGACAGATACACTGAGAAAAGACGAAAGCCCGGAGCAGAAGCAAGGCCCCGTATTCGGACCCGCAAATACCTCGTCTCTTTTCCTTCCAGCCCATTATTTTGACTATATAGCAGGCACTTCAACCGGAGGGTAAGCCAGTTGGTCGGTTGCCAGCCCTTACGCCGCTGACAAAACCAAGGCTCATTGCGATTATGCTCGGTCGTCTCCACATGACTGTGGATGAGTGTCTCGATGCATATGAAAACCTGGCAGACCACGTTTTTGGCCATCCACGACAATTTCATATTCGGAAGCCTCCATGGATTCCCCAGGATAAGTACGACCACCTGCGTCTTGAGAAGGTCATCAAAGATATTGTCAAACAGCGCAGCCCAAAAGGCCATAACAGTACCGAATTCCGCCAACCTAACGAGGACATGTGCCGTACGTGAGTAACCTATTTTTAATTCTGCACTAATGTTCCATGCCTATTTACGAAGCTTTCGTGCTTTTTCTGGTTCCGAGCTTCCAAATTGTGTACCTATCATCTTTGCTTTGCCATCGGGTTCCTTCAGTTCAATGTAATGATATTCGATTAGGATCGTCATAGCCTGGCAGAAGCTGAACGTTACTGGTACCCGCATACCACACCTGTTCCGTTCATATCACCACCCGAAGAGTACCCCGGACGATATATTAGAACGGAATCCTGGAAGACCAGACAACTATCAAATCTGGCAAGTCGGCCGCGCAACATCAGCTGCTCCTTTTTACTTCAAGACCGTAAGGTTGGAAGAGGAGGACGAAAAATCTGAGTACGTCGATGGTAGGTTGTTGTTACATTTGTCCCCTATTACAAAAATATGAAGTTTCCCAGTGTTGCGTCGAGGCAGAGACGCAGGCTCACAGATTGCTAGGTGGTTTTGGGGCAAATAATCCTACAGAAGAAGCCTACAGGTCGGTGAAACAATTGAGCAACAACAATCCGCGAACGGTACAGATCCTGGTCAGCATCGGTACGGGCAAGAATCTTGAGGCGGACCCGAATCCTTCGGCTGGTTACAGGCTCTATATGGCCTACGCTAACACAGCAGCCAAATGGGCCACCCAGTCTGAAGCAACTCATCATACAATCTTAGATGCCACAAGGACCTTTGCCGAGTATTTCCGTCTCAATGTGGAACACGGCATCGGCAAAATGAAGCTCGACGCATGGAAAGGTAAAAAAGGGTGCGAGACTCTGGAGCTGATCCGGACTAAGACCCAGGAATACCTTGATTCCCCAGACGGCCAACAGCAGATATCTCATTCTGCGAGGCAGCTGGTCAACGTCCGAAAGGCTCGAAGCAGCCCGGAGTATATAGACCGATGGGAAAGGTTCTGTCACGGTGTTGAATACGCCTGTTGTGTGCCTACTTGTCTTGACGGCAGAGATAAGAGGTACGAAGACCGGCAGGCACTTCGACGCCACGTCCAGGAATCCCATGCTTCCGAGTGCAATAGGCTCGAGTTTTGGCTGAACGACGGCAAGCGATTTCCAGAGGAGACAACATCGTGAAAGAAGGTATAATTAGCCGAAGAGTAGACTTTCCGCGGGCAACGACCAAATTTTCCATTCAAGATGATATTGCATGCATTGAGGACGAGTTGGATGGCGTTGCATAGACGCCGACCTCATCTTCCCATTGTGGACGATAGCGACCGGTCTTTGCTGCATTACTTTTGGGCGGCAATTGGCCCTACTTTATGTACGATACCCTACTGAAGCGTTTTGCATGCGGCATTCCTTGGCGTTTCTGTTTCGACGGCTTGCACGAGTAAAAATGTCAACGATCATGCTACACGATCGGCGATGACTTTATCTTTGGTCACACATGCGCCTGCATACAGACTTGCAAAACTTTGAAGGGAGAGTACCACACCCTCGAGTATATAATTGAAAGGCAGAGCGGCTCCTAGCCCTATCTTACTCTGTTCACTCTTCTCCAATTAAAGTGACGGGTTAGGTTTTGTTGAGTTATCTCTGCCTACGCTCATGCTGGGCCTGTTTGACTTGATTATGTATATACCTCATCGGCCAAAAGAAGCCATTGCGCAGCAGTGTCCCTAAGGCCTGACCTGTTGAGGTGATCCTGAAGTATCTGATCATCCCACTTTCGAGGGCTCCTGCCGTTGGTCCAATCCAAAAACAAATCACTTGGTTCGCGCGCAATCTCGCTGGCTTGTAGAATGGTACTGCTGTGGATTTGGGGACTGCAGTAAGCATGGCGAGTAAGGAGATACGCAGTCGAGCGACAAAGCACACGCAGTTCGCATAAATGATAAGAAGAACGTGATTTTCGGACGAAATGCTTAGCAATGATTAGCAATGATTACCGGCTTTGTGAGTTTGATAGTGGTTGCTCGGATTCTGGAGATTGACTAAGTAATCCGCGTTGGTGGTAAAGACAAATAAAGAAACCCTAGCCCTAAGGTAGAGTACTTACTGCTTGAGTGGACGTCTGACAAACCAAGTTTTACACGTCAGTCGTTAATATCGATCACATTATACCTCCTTCTTCAACCACTACCAAACAACAAAAAAGCGAAGAACGCGCATCAGAGACAGATCGTGAAGAAGGCCTCCGAGGCCGCCGCAAATGTACTTCTGGGGATGAACTGGCAGCCATATCACACATTCCTCTGGCACCCGATCCATCAATGGCTTTCAAGCGTCCTGTAGTCTCATGTTTCTGCGAGTGGCTTATCATAGTGTAAGTAAGGGTGTGATCATCCGTACTACATGGTGCTCAAGAAGCAACAGTATCGCGATAGTCATGGCGCTCGCATTGTCGACAGTAAACCCAGACTATCACCATTTCAGCTTGCTCGACTTGAGCATCTCGTATCCTTACCGGGAGAAAGCCAAACTCAGCCTCGGAGTATTCACACTTCTATCGGTCATCCTGCCAGTTGCAGTCATCGTAGCTGTCTCCCTTTTCGTCCCAAAATCCGCGTTGTCAAGCTCGAATACCCGTGAGCGCCGGCATCGGAAGCTCTGGGAATTGAACGCCAGCTTGCTCGGACTGGGCGTAAGTCTTGGTACAGCTACGGTCATCTTCACGGGGGTCAAAAACCTCTCCGGAAAGCCTCGCCCAGACTTCCTTGCACGCTGTAAGCCAGATGTGGGAAACGTGGCCGCTCACAGAGTGGGTGGCTATGGGCAGGCGGTCTCTGAATCGTGGGTGATGGTAGATGGAGGCATCTGCCAGGAAGCAGATAGAATGTGGTTGAACGATGGATTCAGGAGCTTTCCTAGTGGCTATGCAACAAGTGAGACTGTTGAGCAGCTGGACCTCGCAAGCTACTGACTTTGATATGTAGTTGCGTTTGCGGGTCTATGGTATCTTACCCTATACCTGAGCGCCCGATTTGGCGTGGTACCCCTATCTATAGCGAACCACCCATCGCGTAACGGGTCGCCGGAAAACGACGAGGCAGGCGAGCAATTAATTCAGAGATCTGCCCAACCTGCGGACCGCCACTCGTCCGCAAAGGATACGGCGGCTTCACCAGCTTTCCTGCTTCCATTGCCGTATATCCCACTTGGTCTTGCCATTTTCGTTGCCGGGACCAGGTATTTCGACTTCAGGAACCATGGCTTTGACGTACTGGCCGGATCCGCAGTGGGTACGCTTACCGCTTGGTTCGGCTTCAGAATGTATCATCCACCACTTTCAAGCCGTACGAGGCGTCCCTGGGGGCCACGTAACGACCAAGCAGCGTTTGGTGATGGAAGCTAGTGAGATAATCTGCTGGCGCAACAGACCAAGCCTCCAACCACCTCAATCACCATGGCATCCGCAAGAGCAGACCATCCCAACGACTTCACCAGTGGCCAACCCAGACGCCCGGCACCAAGATCCACGGCTAGAAACACAATGCCGCCATCCCATTCCATAGCCAACAACCCCACGGCACGGCCCCCAAACCTCCCCAACACCGACTCGCGCCTCCGGATGCCCCAAGCCCCCGCCCTCCTCTCAAGGCTACCTACTTCGACAATGGACTTCTCCCCCATCATCCCCCCCCTTTTCCCTCGCTTGGTTTCAAACCCCAGCGCATCTCCGACACTTAGACCCCACTCATCCCAGAACCGCAAACACAATCGCCGCAGCCTCATGCAACCGCTCGAACGTTCCTACAAGCTGGAGATCTTGGGCAGACAGAGAGAGAGAAAGACGCAAGCAAAAAAGGCGCCGCAGCTATTTTCGCAGAAACGTGGAGGAAAAATGAAAGAAAGAAAGAAACATGGATGCGGAGCAAAAAAGACCGGCTTTCAGGGGCCGCTCGGAGGAGGAGGAGGAGGAGGAAGAGGAGGGGAATTGGAATACAGAAGAACATCGTCGAGGCTAGATAAGATACCTACGGCTGGGCTGGGCCGGGCCGTCCGAACAGATAGGTAGATAGATAGATTGATTGGGGATCATGCGCCCGGGCCGTTGTGAGATGTGATTAGGTGGCTTAGCAAACTTGGGAAATAGTGGGTGTTGGGCAAGAAACATTACGTTAGATCAGTGATGACATTCCTGGCCTCGATGGTCGGAAAGGCATATTGGGAAAGTTTAGAACAAGCAAATATTCAAAATCGGGGTATGTTGAAGTATTTGTCTTGGATGGCAAAGAAAATGCAAGTCAAATGTTGGGGACTGTATCATGCTTCCCTGAAATCATGCGTTGCTAGAGACGAAGACTGTCTTTTTTGTTCTCCGGAGCATGTACTAGGCTTCCATCGCCCGTCATCTATCATCATCCACTAACATAAGTCAACTGGGCCATAACAGCCTGGCAGCTCTGTATGTCTCTTGCTGACCGCATAGATAGCCATCCCGAAGTCTCCGATCTGAAATGTCGGAACGAAAGAAACCCTTATCTCGGAGAAGGAGAGCTTTTTCACTGGAAACTAGGCCCACTAGCCCGCCCTGCAATATGGCGAGTACAACACCGCCACCGCACGTTGACGGATGAGCGAGGCCAAGAGGCCGCCGTCCAAAATGGCCAATACCACCACCGCGGCCGCATACTGCAGCTCGAGCGCGACCATCGTGCAAACATCCAACACCGGGAGAACACACACAGCGCCTCGGGATTTTCGAGCTTCAGGAGTACGACGAGCTTGAGCTTCGTGAGATCCGTCGGGATGCGCTGTTTGCAGAGCAGGAAGGTCAGGCAGAGTGATGCCAGACAGCGGGCAAGGCAGGCAAGCTTGGCCGAGCTGTGGGGTAGATGCTTTTGAGACAGAGAGTCGATGTCCGGGATGACGGGAGGGAGGAAGCCTTTCGTAGGTTCCTGAGCCCCGATGGAAGAACCTACATGTTTGATCAAAGGGCGAACGGATACTCAAGAGGTGAAGGAATAGGCACATTGAGTGTTGCTAACTCTGTTGGGTATGGAACCACTCACAGGAAGAGGTCCGACGAATTTGATAAGAGACCCTCGGAGGACTACCGCAAGGATGGTTGATTCGGGTTATGAACATTTGACAGCCATAAGCGCAGGCCTTAACTTGCTCTTGAACCGCTGCCTTGAGTTTAGAAAATCAAGATTCGCAGTGCATTATGGACACAGATAGACGCACGTTATTTCTCACGGCCCTATGTTGTCTGGGAGAGCATTGCTATAGGACCGGAATTGCCAGGTTGCGAGCATTATTACAATAGTAGTCCGTGATTTGATTATGCGCTAGCCATGACTGCCTTGCAAGCTTTTAATGCCCCCACGACCGTGAAGCATATCAACGGAGTAATGGCATACATGATCTATTGTTCCAATTCTAGTCAGTCTTGGTCCAAGCGCTCTTATCACATAAGGAATTTTTGGGAGGAAATCACGCACACTCAGGAATTTAGCGATACTCATCTTCTCCTCCTCACTACTGCCAGACACATCCGCCAGCGCAGTAAGCTTCATTGCCGGCGGACCCGTAGGCATGAGCATCATTGTAAACCATAACATAGGATCTTCATTCAGGAGGTTGGTGTGAGAGGCGATGAGATATATGAAGGCGATCGAAACGGCTGGCCAGACAATAAAGCGCATGGTCGTCACAAATACTAGCGGGATCCATGGTACCGTACCACTATCCTCCCCTCTCTTCATTTTCCTCATACTACTACTCAACTTCGCGCCCACGACAACGACCTGTAGCGAAGCAAAGAGGCCGCCGATATTTTTGACACTATCAGTCAGCCATGCTGTAAAGATCCCTCCGTTTTCCGGATTTCCGAAGAAAGCCTTGTGGAATGGAGGAACGAGTCCGAGAATCGCGCCGGTAATTGCACCAATCAAAGGTGCATGCAAAAAGGCGTACGAGAAGTGGAGGAATGATCGTATCCATGGAGGGAATTTCTCCCATGCTATCTCGCCTTTATCATAGCCGTAGCGTTCAGCTGCGAGCTCGCCACTTCGGACGAAGCTGGGCAAGAGGGAGGTTTGCTCATGGGGTTCTTCGTTATTTCCTTGGCGGCTGTCTTGGCCACCAGGGCGTGCTCCGTAGGTGCCATTGCCATTGCTCGGCTCCGGCGCGAGAGGAAAGAGTGGACCCTCAGGCGCACCATTATCAACAAGGTTTCGTTGCTCCTCATCACCATCGTCTTTCTTCTTTTCTGGGGCGTGTTCTCCGTCCAATAACTTTGGTCCGATCGCAAAGGTCAACGCATCTCCAATAATGGCGTTTACGAGGAAGTAAGATTGAGCACGCATCAATGCAGCGTCTACAGTGTCGGTGTCTGACGCCAGTAATTCGTCAAGGATGCCGGTTGAGGCTAGAGACTCGATGAGGAGGAGGGGCAGGGCGGTGGTATTGTTGAAGGATATGGCGGGTGTGACCCAGGAGGGAAGTTTGAAGAAGCGGGTCACGAACCAGCCGAGGAGCATGGAGGAGAGGGCGTAGAAGAGTCCCCAAACTATAGACCGTGAATTAGCCCACTTAGTTCTACGCAATGAAGGCGCAGGGTTCAAATTTACTCAGGATGGGCACATAGCGAATGGCAGTGTCTGCGTGCAATTGACTTCCGACCTTAGTAATCAGGAGGGCGGGCAGGAACATTCGCACACATAAGGTGCTAATTTGCTTGGTGCTGTCTCCTTTGAGGATGTCGAATTGGGCGGCGAGAACTCCGTATAAGATGACTAGAAGTACACTGAGAGAGGCTTGGAGGGCGCCCAGGAATGAGGTTAGGATTTCGTTCGCCATGTTGATTTATAGTTGCAGGGTAATCAGGGGCTGATGATGGAGGTCATGGAGACAAGAAGGATACCGAGACGCTCGAAGCAGTTGAAAAGCAAGCATACTTTACATGTAATGTATTCCTGGCGACCTGATAGCGGGTGTTCCTCGGCAGATCTGACACTAGGCCTGGATTGTGAGTTCCTCACAAGGCTGGGGAACAATTCTCCGAGCAGTGGGAAAGACTGCACAGGGCATAATTGAGTTCAGTATGATATCTATTGAAAATCGTCAAGTCGTAGACGGCCAACTGTACTCATAGATGACGATCGGAGGAGAAAGCAGGTTCACTAAATAAGTAATGAATGCTCGACCTTCCATGCTCAATGACCGAAAGAGTTCATTACAACCCACGAATACCAAGTCGAATGCGTCGTGCCATACTCCATCATGGTACATCAATCATCATCATATCTCATCCCAGACCCACCCCTCGATAACCTAACGGCCTCCCGGCTGCGGCCCCATAGGTGGCGGAGGTAGCGCCCCACTCGCATACGGATTCCCGTCTGAATAATGCGGTCCATTAGGCTCCCCGTAATACCCGGCTCCAGCGGCGTAGTCAGACGCAGGTCCAGGTGAATATGGACTCTGCGGATAGGCAGGAGTCGCCTGCGAGTGTAGGTTCGGCGTCGACGTATTGTATTCATCGTGATGACCGTGCACATGCGTCACTCCATATTTCTTGTCATCCAACGCCCTTTGCTCCCTCCTTGCATGTCGCTCTGCCCTCTTCAAATCGAATTCATGCGCTTCATCTCTCTGCTCTTTCATTTCCTTCCACTCACTGTAGGCGCCCTTAATACCGAGTGCTGCAACGCCAATGGCTGCAGCATCCTGCAGTCTCCCTTTGTTCTTTCTCCTGCGAGCCTCTTGAGGCGACATCTCTCCCTTAGCAACTTCCTTCCGACGCTCCTGGCGACCTTCGATGCTCTTGTAGACGCTCTGGGCAGCATGAATGGTAGCGACAGAAGCTAGACCGGCGGTAATGAGTTGCTTGTGACCCATCTTCTTTCGTTCTTTCTCATCTTCTGAGGACGATGAATCGTCCTCGGAGCTGCTTTCGCTCTCTGGCGATGACTTGATACCGTCACCGCCCTCGCCACCGCCGCCACGAGGTCGTGATTGGTAACCCCGAGGTGGGGAATCGTCATCATAGCCACGACGAGAGCCACGACTATCTCCGCCTTTGTCACCTATCCCAATTGCTGCCATACCTTGCCTCGCATAGTCGCTTACACTTTTGCTACGCTTTCCTCGACCTCCACGACGATCACCGTCATCAGAGCTGTATCGACGACCTCCTCCTCCTCCTCTATCAGTCGATTTGTTTCTGTCCATGAACATCTTCCCAGCTGCGGCAGCTAATCCTCCAGCACCTAGCGCAGCAAGACCGCCGCTTCCTCCTCCCCTGTCATCACCTCGCCCACCGCGCGATCGAGAACGAGATCGGGACCCGTCCTTGTCACGAGAACCGTTGATCAGCCTATTACCGGCCAGACCGCCTATGACAGCCTGGAGACCGTCCAGAGCGCCACCTCCTTGTCCGTCCTTCTTGCCGCTATTGAGCAGTCCATCGATACCTCCAGCACCAACAGCAGCAGTCAACACACGTCTTCCCTTTGGCCCTGCCCAACCTCCTGGCTCTTTGCGACTGCGGAAAGCCTCTACAGCACCAGCGGTCAATGCAGCTCTTGCGGCTTTCATCAGCTGTTCTTTCTGATCTCCGCCGCCACGGCTACGACCACCGCGGGAACGCGAGCGAGAGTCTGAACTATAGGAATCATCACGGCGACGACGGCCACCTCGACTTCGACTCCGGTCTCGGTCCCGATCTCGACCATGTTTTTCTGAGGCAGCGCCTGCGGCAGCGCCTATACCGAGGGCTGCGAGCGCTTGTTCTCCCAAAGATTTTCGGCGTTCTGGTTTTCGTCGGGGTTCAGGCGAGCTTGAGAAACTGGACGATGAATAGTCCCTACGTCGATCTCCTGCTACATGTCAATAATGGCCAAATGTATCTTGAAGGACGACCCACGTCTCTTATCCTGCTTTCGAGGACGATCATCATAAGAATCATTGTCATATCTACCTCCGCCGTGTGACTTGGCACGCCGCGGTGGGCCACGATCCTTTTCTTTGCGTCGTCGAACATAGGCTCCACCTCCGGGTGGAAAATCC